TTTTTTTTGGTTGTTCAAGGGCCACCCCCCAAAAAATTGTTTTGGGATTTTTTTACTATTTTCTACCCTGTGACTGATTCTGATTGAGAGAGAGAGAGAGAGAGAGAGAGAGAGAGAGAGAGGTGCACAGGCTGGATATGGCCTTGAGGTAGGTATGGCCTAATTCACCCCCTGTCTGTAAACCTTCTGTAAGCTGTTTTTTTTGTTCTTTTTTTGGGTCCAGATTTTTCCGGACATCAGTTGGGCTGGACGTCCTGCTGTGTCCGGGACCGGCATAAATATAAGAACATCCAGGGCTAACCCCTTTTCAAAAAGAAAAAAAAAGCAGAAATGGAGTTCGAAGGTGGTGCGATAAAGTGAACCAAAAGCATGATTGTTGAAGGCATCTTACCTCCAAACAACGCCATGTCTGGGATAGCGTTCAGAATTGTTTCCACAGCACCAAGAATATACCTGGTGCAGACAGAAGGGACAAACAGAAAACAACTTGTAAAACATCAGATTTAAATTTCACTGAGTGAGACCCCTTGCGTCCTTCCCTTTCGTCCTAATCCACACCCTTCTGGGCTTCTGTACAACGGCGACCGCATACGTCTGCATGCAGAGTCCACACAAGCTCCAGCAATCATTGTAAGCAAGACCCCTTGTTCGCTCTCCTTGACACCTCCCTTGCACCCCTTTTATGCCCCCCCCTTCCCCCCGACCCCCAACCCCAGTCCGATGAACAGAGGACAGGAAGAGAAGAAAGTCTAGAAAGCGAAATACCCATCACCATGTGTGCTGTCGATCATGTGGAGGAAAACAATCCACAGAAAAGAGAAGCACGGCTTTGGCAGAGTTTTGGCTGACTCTCACAAATCCTATTGAAAGACGATCCCTTACACACGAAAAAAAAAAAAAAAAAAAAAAAAAAAAAAAAAACCGAGAACAAAAACAACGAGTCAACTTTACCCATACCAATTCTGCTATCCCTGCGTGTGCCGAACCGCTTGCTCTTTTAAACGACTGTCCCTATGAAGACTACTTGACTAAGATGAAGAGCAAGTCGGCCTTGGAGATATGTATCCAAACACCCGCACAACAGACCCCTTCTTCGAAAAAATGCTGGCACAGTGTAATGCAAGACATTAGCCACTCAACACACCACAAAACTGAGAAGGAAATCTTCTCCGAACAGTTTAACATATTTAAGAAAAAGAAAGAAGGTACCGCAGTCTGACATGCAGGACCGCCACTTGCATTTATGCCTGCCACAGCAGGTTCCGCGTTTGAATGCGCACAAGCACAGTGCACAGCAAGCATAAGCAAAAATGCACAATGAGCAACAGCACATACGTATTGGAGAAAAAAAAAACTCGTTAAATAGTAAATACACGAAGCAAGTACACTTCACATAAGACAAAGCAAGCAAGAATGGACGCAAATATACAAAAGAGTTGAAAGTCGAAACTCGAAAGAGAAAACAAAATGCAGCAATGAGAAACTGACAATTCAGTGAATGCACACAGATATACAAAAGAGTTGAAACTCGAAAGAGAAAACAAAATGCAGCAATGAGAAACTGTCTATTCAGTGGAGAGTTCGGAGAAAAATATATATATATATATATATATATATATATATATATATATATCGTTACAAACAGATATGTATATATATCGTCATATATATCGTCAAATAGAACTGCCCGGTAAACCGTAGGCAGAGAGGGAGAAGAGGACAACAAACGAGGGGCTGTGACAAACTGTTTATACAATGGACGGATGGAAGATGAAGTTCAGTATGGGGGGTGCACCACACTTACATGGAAGCAGCAACTGCATTGCCGAAGAAGAAGCATAGCCCTATGCTAACACCAACTTCAGGACCCAGAGCACGGCCTATAAGGAAATAAGGACCACCCCCCTGGCACAAGCCAAAAGAAAGGGCAGCAAGTCAATCAGAATCAGTGAATCACACATATCTCCTAACATCTCACGTTCAAGGATGCCCACACATGGCACGATCTCACCAGACAGAAACATGAGAAGAGATAACACCCATCCTTGGCAACAGAATACCAGGATAACCCGGCCCATCCTGACCCCTTGCATCCAAAAGCCGGATCATGGACTGGATGCAAGCCCACAAACCTCTCTGGTGTGCATATACGATCATGATAGCGGCATAGCAGGCCCTAAACCTCTCTCTCTCTCTCTCTCTCTCTCTCTCTCTCTCTCTCTCTCTCTCTCTCTCTCTCTCTCTCTCTCTCTCT